ACAACATTGAGCATTGCTACCATGTAAAAATACTTCAGCAGTGCGAATAATTGGAACAAAAAATGACGTTCCTATAACAAAGACACTTGAAACAAAGGCACACATTGGGTACTGTGGTTCTTTCAAGCAAGAAATGTCCCCAGCTGTCTTTAATTCCCGTTTTCAAATTCTTCTTTCATTGTCACTGTAAATGTCATCTTGTCGGTTCCAGCACCAAACTACAAGTACCAAGTCAAAGTATTTTTTCTGACATAGACAAACAAAAATGTGCGCTGAATACCATTGGAATATCAGCAGGAAATCAGAGTACAACTCCCATTATAATAGGGTGAAGGACGAAACAGGGCAAGCAGACTTAACTGTCATCTACATCATACTACAGGTCCTTTCCATTTTGCTTAAAAAATGAGGTTTTCGAAAATAAGGTTTTTGGCTTCTCCTTAAAAATGCACTTTTGGACACACAGCAATATCATTTTCAGGCCTGGATACAGTGCATTTAGCTCACAATATGCATGGGGCTGTAATGACAAAATGACAGTCATGCTCATACACTCTGACTGTCGACAGACTCAGTGTGTTCGTCTTCAGAATAAATGTACTTTAGCCGAAGTCATAATTACCCATGCTCACTATTCACGGTCCACAATTGACTTTGATACAATAATTTAAAAAAACCCAGAAATGAATAATTTGCACAAAACACCAGCAACAAACACTCTGAAAGAAATAAAAGAGAAAAGCAACCAAAAGCCATTTGATCTATAAATGATACATTAAAAATCGTATAATTGTACCGTTAGCACAACATGTGTACACTCCTGGGGAAAGATGAAAAGTTGACCCACATGATTTTGAGCTACAGGTTGATAATGTTTAAAAAATCATTTTTTAAATCAAAACGTTTTTTCATAAATGAAAAACAATCTAAAAGGATCCTCATTTATTCAACTTTAAAGTACAGTATTTCATTAGGAACTATTTTGACAGATTGAGAGCAAGGTATTCTTTAAAAAAATTTAAATAGCCTTAAACAAGTGACTCGGATCAATGCTCGTGATCTGTCTCCTTTTTCCTAACTTTGCACTTCAAGTGAAGGTGAACCAAAGATTCTCTACTAGTAGAGATTCTTTGGTTGAACAAAAGAATTTGAAAGATCGTACATAACAAGATAGTCCACTCCTCTCTTTGAGCCAATTAAAAAAACTGTCCTCAAAATTCGGTCACGCACTCATAGAAAAAGCGTGGACTTCTACTTGTGTGAAAAACAATAAAAGAGAAATTAACAAATTGTGCTATTCCTATTCTTCTTCTGAAGAAACGAAAGAGAGCTTCCAAAACAAAGATCAAAGACAGTTTTTTGGCTGAGTGAACAATCTTGTTATGTATGATCTTTTGTTGAACCCCATCATGTTATATACCAAAATAATCACTGGGACTTCCCCATCACTATAAAGAGCAGTGCCCATGAATAACTACTTCTGCAAACAAAACACACTACTTATCCATCCTTGCCCGATCTGCCATTTTGGTGTCTTCGTGGTGGTTTGTGTTCGTAAAACTTTAAAGCACATTTCCTCGAACTCCTATCTTTATACCCTTCCTCAAAAAAAAAAAAAAGAAGCAATATCTCAAAAGCGACTCAAAATATTTGAAAAACTTAGAGTTCAGCTTTTCTATAAAAAATCCAACATAAATATATTTTCAATACTTGGATCCATAAATCTCTCCAAGTACCACGTTTGCCCAAGTTAACAATGAAACCCCCCCCCCCCTCCAATAAATAGATATAAGCTACAAAAATTAAAACATTATGTACTGAGCTTTTTAGCAGATAGTTACAAAATTGTAACTTCATATCAAAACCTGATGTGAGATCATTTGTAAAATTTGTAATGCTTTGATTTAGATGTATTTATTGTTAACCTTGTTATTCTGTAAAGCTGCTGATAAAGGGAAAGGGGACTTAAAAAAAGAGAACACTTAAAATTCTAATGATCATTCATAACACTTTGCCATCATATTTTGTGGAAAATCCAAAGAAACTGGGTGGTAAACAGTCGGCAAAGTGTTAAGCCTTCCAGCCCCAAGTGCGTATATATTTTTAGCAGCTCTTGTCTCATGAGCGTACATTCTCAGTTTCCGGGGGGAGGGGGATCAAATTTGCGTATTTTTCGAAATTAGCGATCTTAATTAAACTTTAATTTTCATAATTTCATAATATTTGTTCATTTACCAGTAAACATTGTTATAAGTTATTATTTAAACCTGATTACAAAGATACTACATCACTTTTTAGAATGCATGCCTCTTTTTCTGAAATACTGCTGTATTGGCTGGGACTGGGGTTAGAGAGTGCACAAAAATGAGCTGGGGCTGGAAGGGTTAATTTGAGTAAGTATATATAATTATGAACACCACACCCACACTTACAGAATATAGAAGCAATTCCGAGAGCAGTAAATGTAAAACTGCAATAACTGACACCTACCCAACAAGCATCCAAACTGTTCATGAGCATTTTGACTAGAAGTAAATGCATTAGATTGTCCCCTTCGTTTTATGCAAGAAACATTTTGAAATTATGCACACTGAGCCAAAAAAGTGAAATTATGCGAATTCTGTTAATTTTAACAAAGAATGATAAAGGAAAATAATCAGAAATTACGCAAAAAAATATCAAATTTTGCTAAATTAAGCTGGGTGCATATTATAACCACAGGGACAGATTAGACTTTTTAGAGTTGTCATAACATGAAGCCTTTTGGTACAAAATTCCTGTCATCATGAAAGAATCCCCGTTTTTTGGGTGTATTTTTTCCCCTCTTTATTCTATGCATAGCAACTTTTTTAAACACAAAATCTGACGAACACGAAGAAATTTTCTAGTCCTGAGAAGTTCGTATTATCAAAGTTCTATGTAAAGTGGCAATAAGACAAAAATGAGTCACATGGCATATTTTGACTACACAATTGTTCGGGAATATAGGAAATATAATTTTACAACTTTACAAAGTAAAACTTACGACTAGCCAAATTGCTTATGTTCCAAATTTGCAGTTGACTGAAGTTGGGAAATCTGATATGGACATTTTTGAGAAATTTCTGGTAAAAGATCAAAAAGAGAAAGAGAATCTACCTCAAACTGCCAAACAAGCAGTCAAAGAAACTCATGTTCTTGAGTTCAGGCAGGCATTGCCAAAACAGGACACGGATCACTTAGACCGAAACAGCTGTACAAAATACTCCATCTGGTCACCCAGCCAGGAGAGTGACTGCAACGGACTTCTCGGGTCTGGCGCCAGGTGACCTGAACGGATAATTTTCATCGGCGCATTATTATGCCAAGTGATCGCAAAGTGTTAACTGTTACAACCAACAAAGCTTTCAATCATTGTGTCAGTAAAAAAAATATATGTCTTTTAAATCTAAAGGTCTCAGAAACTATAACATTCACTTGTCAAATTGTTGCTTTGACATGAGGCGAGGGTTTGGCTGTGACTGCAGCAACTCACAAGTTTGAAAATGATTTTGTCTTGACAAAACTACGTAGTGACAATCTGCCCCCACAATAGAATTGTCCATGATTATTGATGGCTACAGACATAATGGATTGTGGCTGGGGAATGATGTACCCATCTGTCTCTTTCACTGCAATGTCAATCAAGAACCTTTGTTCCAGCTGCATGCATTTACATTTGAACTTGATGAAAAATATTTTTAAAAAGAACACAGTCAAACCCTTTGTACATCCAGCCTAAGAACAAATATGAAGTTGGTGGAAAAATGGAGTTTCAATGCTGCCTTCTGTTATTTAGCAACGATTGTCTAATGTTAAGGGACATGAAATGTGAGGCATTGTGGTGAAATCAGGTGATCGTCAAAATAATGAAATCGAAGAAACCGTCATTTTTTCTGCTGGTTTAACAATTTTTATCGAATTTTTTTTTCTTAGCTCAACACTTAATATGACCATTCAAAAACATATTTATACGTGGAATTTACTGAAAAACTTTGATTTGAGGCACTAAAATGTAAATATATACTGTTTCCAAGGACATGGTAGCTATGAAAGTCAACAAATTTAGATGGCTAATTTCTCTGAAACCAGGTGACCCCCTACGTCCTTCAATCCCCCAAATCTCGACTTATAAAATTCTAGATAAATGGGGAATTTTTTTCAGGTATACAGATGATGTTGGCTCTCTATATATATAGACCTACAATTTGTCAACTCATGAGCTCTGCCTTCCATTAAAAAGACATAGTGAACAATAACAATCTATTCCCATAGATCTATATTACAGTGGGCCCTGGTTGTTACAAGACTTCCGCGACCGACGTGATGTCCCTGTTATAGCCCAACCTGTTACAGATGGGGATCAAGTTTACACACACTACAACTAATGATTAACGAATGGGATCCCTTTTACTACATAGATAACCCACAAACAATTTATCAGTCATTGCTCCGTTTTTTTTTTCCCACTGAAATTTTGTCCTCCTCATCTATATCTTCTTTTTTTCTAAGCATTTTAGTCTCATTGAGGTTGACAAGAATAATTTGAGAAGCACGAGTGATAATAATAATAATAATAATTATTATTATTATACTTGCAAACAGGAACAATTCATGCTCAACAGTCTACAGCATACCCTGTGTGCTTTACATTGACTAGTAATCGAAATTTTACCACATTTGGGAAAAGGAGCACACATAGATCTGCATGCAGTGCCTACTTTTCATTCAGTCAGTAATTCCTATTACAAGTCTCGCCACCCATAGAGGGGAAACAATGTGACGATGTGCCAGACCAAGATCATGCTATCTCATTGACATGACTTCCATCAACAAAGTGCGTTCAGCTCCCCCCCCCCCATCTCCTCCCTTCCCTGCACACAAGGTATGACACATCATGATCATAAAATGTGTACACAGTCAATTCTGGCCTACTGTGAGTCATGAAGGTGCCATGCGATGTGCCATTAATGTTGATTTGCTTCATTTATTTCGTTTTTCAGCTTTCTTGTCCGTTTGTTTTAGGATTGTGTCGATGGTTGGACCACTGTTATAGTCTAACATGTCAGCCCGAATGCCTGTTATAAAAGAACTTTTTTACAGTACACTATAAGAGACAGGACTCGAGGATATTTAATATAAGCCCACTACAGCTGAAATCCTGTTAAAACTGTAAAAAGTGGGGCCCACTGTATGAAACTAAGATATGTCTTTTGAAAAGACTGGGAACGCCCATATACATGAAACATGTGCTTCTTGTCTTTTCATATCTGAGAGGACATCAATGTAAGACTGACACCTGAAAATATGTTTTCCGCAAAGCAAAAAATCCCCAAAAACCTGTTGTACTATAATATTTTTCGCTGTTTACAATCTGGCCTCGGAAAAATAAAAACCATTATTGTTAACTATGTTATCTCATGCCACTAAATAATCTCAATTCACAAACAGAAACAAAATGGGAGGTTGGTGGGTGCTCTGGTGCAGTTAGCTCCTTCTTTCCTACCCAACATCTATCATCCTATCTCCCCTCCTTCTTTTTTGTGTTTGTTACTCTCTTGTAACACCTCTAATCTTCGGCACTTATACGGCCTATTGTGTTGCAAGTGCCGTAAAACTCTTACTAAAACAAAAACAGAAAGTCACTCCTGTGGTAAATAATCTCGACTCGTATCATATTGGCTCCAAATAAAACCCTCTTCAAAGAACAAAGTTTTAACTTCCTCCGGTCCAAACAACGTAGTGTGCTTTGATCGATTGAATACATCAACCAGGTTCACACATTACCCAGTACTAGTTTTTAACAATGTATCTATTAGTATTAATATTCTAGAATTGAATAAAATAACAAACAATTACACTAATGCTGTATAGCCCACTGCAAAATTGATATCATTTTGAAAACTTTCTTCTGCCAGCAAGTAAATCTATAAGTCCTGGCCGCCTTAAAAAGTTGGGGGTTTTTTTTTTAAGAAGAAAAATAGTGATCTGTTTTAATTAGTTGATATTGTATGTTAAATCAATCAATGATTTCTGCCATTTTGCTAATGAGATCAAATACTTTTTCGTCAGAATGCATTGGTTATAATAGTACATGTATTTTCAACATGATCAAATGAGACAGCAGTAAAGGTCTTCAATATTTCATTAAAGGCATTCAGTTATCAACTTTCATAAACTTTAACCCTTGATCACTTTTGATAACCAAAAGCTAACTGTAAGGGTGAATATCCTTCAAGGCAAGCGTGACATTTTCCCGGAAATGAGCATATAGCCTCTCAAAAAACAAAATCAGTACCACTACTACTAAAAATATTGATGATACTAATTTGTAATTCTTTTTCCACTATCAAATCATGTACCTTTCGATTCCTTCCTGTTATGATATTTCTGGCAATGTATTACTAATCCATATTCTAAAGCTATATTTTTGTACAAAAATATTGTTTCATTTTCACCCCTGATTTCCCCAGGAAACTCTATATTATGACACGACATAGCCAGTTCTGTTTTCCGAGGGTTATCTCAATCCTCCTCCTAGACCATGACCATTGCTGCCTCTCTTCAAAGTCAAAGAAGTTTCTTCCTGTAGTAACGGAATAGAAGGAATAAACAGCCAACCACTGCTGCCCACAGGAAGAATTTGTTGACGGAATTAAATGGCTTTGCCACAACTTGACCCTGTAAAAAGAAAAAAACAACAAAAAACAGCATTGATTAGATTAATAACAATAAGTTTAAAAAAGTTACTTGAAAAGAAACCACGAATTAGGCTGAAAAGAGGCTATCAGGCCAAACAAAAGAAAAAAACCCAGCGATGCACACAAGCAGCATAGGATATTGAAAGTTACACAAATATGCAGTCTCCTAATGAGCCTTCCTGCATTCAAACGATATTTCAAAAATCCATAATACACAGACTTACGATGAGTGACGAGCCAGAAAAGATCATCATCTCAATAGTCTTTTGCTTTTGTTTTCCTTTAGTCTAAATGTTCATTTTTTAAACTTCAGATTCTCTAATACATTTTAAACTGTAGACAACAGGTAAAGACCAATCTGTACAAAAAGAAGAAAAAACAAGATTGGTCTGTAGTTCATATTGTCTAAATAGTCGCATTGAATTATTTCAAATACAGCTGGCTACTATTTTTAAAAGCAATCTGGATTGTTTTACCAAATTCGTCCTAAATCTGACATTATAAAGAGACTGATGGGGAGAAAGTACCTTTATTCAGTATACAGTCGAAAGTGTTTAATACTGCCATCTATTGCTGAGGAGTTAAGTGGTGACTGTCTTACACAGTCTCATTATAATGTAAAAAGTACCAAAGGTAGTACATGGCAAGTGGCCATTAGAGCAAGTGGTTTGTCTTACACTGTTAGCTGTTAGAGTAGGTTCCACTGTATTTGTTTTGTTAGTTTCAATTTTTACTCCGATCAAACCTTTAACTTTAAAATGCAAAGAAACAAATATAAATAATGAGAAAGAGACTTACCCATCCACCATGCTGGTACACCCAGGTGCAGATCTTCTCAGAAATAAAAGTGAGGGACCAGTTGAGAAAAGTCATGAACAAGTTTTTGCCAGCACGGAGAGCTTGTATAGCCACATCCGAGCAGAAAAAAAAAAGCACAACAATCCTTTCTCTGGTTATTCCCCCTTCACAGAAGATCTGAGACAACAAGTCATGGAACTGTTCAAAGGTGACATCTGTTCCCACCTGAAAAGAAAAAAGAAAGTTGTGATAATTTAAAATCAGAAATCAAATGGGTACTCACAGTTATGCCAACAAGACAAGAAATAACATATGTGTGAGGCATCGTGGTGAAATCAAGCGCTCGTCAAAATAATGAAATTGAAGAAACTCAATTTTCCGTCAGCTGAGTAATTTTTATAGAATTTTTGTTTTTTGGCTCAACATCTTTTATGTCTCTCTCTCTATATATATGTGTGAAGGGTGCTGACAAATTGAGTTGCTTCTCGGATTCAAGCCTTATTTAAATAGATACATCATGCCTATAGGTGAAGTTTTTACAGTTTAGAAGTATGAAGTAATAAAAAGCAAGTTATACTTAAAGAATGTGGCATCAATAGAAAATAAACAATTTGACCCTAGTATCGATTTTTGGCCAATATCTTCATTTGGGGATTTCCAGAAATAACTCATTTTGTCAGCACTTTTCACATATATAAAAACACATTTCTTTGTGGATTTTAATGAAAAATGTTGACTGAAGGTACAAAATGTGTCAATTTTCAGTTTTCAAGAACTCTCAAGCTATTGAAGTTATCACATTCTGTTGGCGATTTCTCATTAATTTTACCTCTGAACAATTATATTTTAAAGTGAACCTTAAAGGTTTCAAGTTGTAGGTAGCGGTTTCATGAGAATGTTCGAGCTGGACAGAAGTTACTGATGATGACATTGTACATCTATATCAAAATGAGAAAGTATAACTCACATTTCTTAGAAATGAAAGAGAATGCTGAGTATTGGTTTGTCTCCGCAAAATTCAAATTCTTGACCCAGAATACACACAAAATTAGGCTCGCAAGAAAAGTAATTTCTGTTGCTGCCTGAAGGTTGAATTTAAGTTTTGTTCCTCTTTCTGATGATCACTTTTGGGCGAGTAATTAAGGCTTGAACACTCTGTGGTCTATCTTAGAGCTTAGCGTAGAATCAGTCTTGCGAAAAATGAAATTCATATAGCTGACAAACATCTCCTCTGGGCCAAAAATCGATATATGCTTTACGACAGAAATTCAAAAGAGTAAACTACTGGAATGCAAATATCTTCCTTTTCCAAAACCTAGTGATATTTAAATTTATGATAGAGCCCTGTGTTTTATGTCAAATGCCACCAGAGGTGACTACATTCCCTTGGACATTTAGTCATCTCTGCACTTTTTGTATAATGCACTAAATCATAATTTAGATATCAACTGCTCAGAGTAGAGGGTGCGGTGGCGGAGTGATTAGTGCACTCATCTCCGACTTCGAGTTGGGGAAGTAAAAGCGGCGTGGAAAGGAACTGGTCACCCTACCAAAATACATTTTTGATGAGTGGTTAACATAAATAGGACATAAAAATATACCTGCTCAGCTCTTCTCTGCACTTGCGCTCTCCCACGAGTTTTTGAAAAGTCATCTGCCATAAGTCGCAAGTCTCTGCCTGTTTTAGCCCACAAAGGATCTTTGTATCCTGGTGGAGTCCTTAGAAAATGAAATAAAAAATCAATGATTATGTCTAAACTACACATTCTTTCAACTGGGACAATAAAATAAAACCTTTTTGCAGTCTAACGTTGGTTGATAAAGTACGGTCAATGGTTTACTTTCAGAGTCTGCATAGAGTGTGCTTGTCAACAATCTACTACTTGATGTCTGTTTACATTACAAACTTATAGTAGAGTTTTACACCAAGTTGATTTAAAAATACAGTATGTTTTCAATGGTCAGTTGATGCTTTAAAGTCAATGACGGATCATAATTTATAACATATAAATTGATAAAAAATACCTGTCTGAAGGAGCATTACATTGCATTCAGTCTGTATAAAGTTAGTACAGTAGTGTATTATTATAGTTAACAGGATATCAATTTAGACTATGATGGTAAACATGCCTGACCAAGGCTGATCTGTTTTTAAAGCAAAACACACACACACATTAAGGAAACAAAAAAAAAACACCCAAAAAAATACCAATACGAGCAGGACAAAGTATTACTCACCGCAACGGAATATCTTCGTAGGAGAAATTAGGAACCCTCTGAATTTCACTCGATACAAAGTTTGTGAACAGCTCTCTACCTTCTTCCACAACTTCTTCATGCTTATCCCTCGGAATTCCAGAAGGAACAACAATAACTTCCTGGGATGTATCCAAAGGTGGAATAACAAGTTTGTTCAGGGAGACCCCAGAGTCTCTCCGCTGTGACAGACTGCGTTGAACTGATGGCTCCATACTGACAATGCTTTAGAATTTAGACCATGAAGGACTTTTCTCCAGTCAGCACCGGTGTGGTCAAAACCTGAAACAAAATCATTCAGGGAAGTTTTGATTCAAAGCTGACACATATATATATATGTGAGGCAGCGTGGTGAAATCAAGCGTTCGTCAAAATAATGAAATTGAAGAAACCAGAATTTTTCCGCCCGTGTGTCTATTTTTATTGAATTTTTTTTGGGCTCCACACCTTTTATTCCATTTAAAATTGTGCGACTTTTACTGAAAAGCGTTGATTGAAGGCACAAAAATTGTAAAATTTTCAGTTTTCAAGGACTCTCAATCTATGGAAGTCAGCCATTTTCCCGTTTACTTTACCTTTGAAACAAGACGACCCTGACCTCCTTCAATCACAAATATCTAGAGATTTTATGGGTACTTTGGGAATCAAAAGCAAGACAAACGAACAAGCTGAATGAACCAACCAATAGCCTTTAACTCCACATGCAAAAATAGACGAGTGCCTGATTCCACTGCGTTGTGACACATATATCCTTTGAGCTAGTAAGCTATGAAACCAGCTGTCACGACAAACCTCACAGAAGATAATAAGAAGTTCCAAGTAATGAAAGGACATGGGGCTCAGGTTGAACCGTTGAGGGAGGAGGTGAGAATTAAAGACTGAACCACAAAAGATCATTAAATAAACCTGTCAAAAGGCTCAAACTTCCTGTTCACCTGAGTAGCAACAAATCTAGAGGTGTAACTTAACTAAATTTAGAATCAGTCCAGAGCCTTCAAGTACACTGGACGAGAGAGAGAGAGAAAGAGAGAGAGAGAGAGAGAGACAGAGAGAGAGAGAGAGCAGAGAGAGAGAGAGCAGAGAGAGGGAGGGAGGGGGGGAGAGGGAGACTCAGAGAGAGAGAGAGAGACAGAGAGAGAGAGAGAGAGAGAGAGAGGGAGGGAGGAGGGAGAGGGAGGCTCAGAGAGAGAGAGAGAGAGAGAGAGAGAGAGAGAGAGAGAGAGAGAGAGAGAGAGAGAGAGAGAGAGAGAGGCACTTGCGTTTGAATAGGGAATACTTTAAAATTAAAATCCTACTAGATCTAGATCTAGATCTAGATCTAGATCTATATAAACTTACCCAAAAAAAACCACTCGCGGCTTGTGGATGAGCTTTATTTTTTAAAACATTTTTTCTTTATAAGATGATTTTGAAACAGGCCCTCCTAATCCTAATCATATTAAAATTACAAACACCAGAAAAGTCACAATTCATAAAATTATATTTCAATAGGTCTACACAGTGATCGCTCTCGAATCTAAACAGGCAATTGGCGATAAAGTGGTCATACTCCTCAACCTGAAGGCTGACATCATCATTACTTCTCTTTCTATAAGCAGGATCTATTTTAGGCAACTGGTTAGTAAAGTTAGTTGGGGTAAAAGCCGAAAAGCAAAAGCATCGCCCGTCGCTCTGCGACGTCTGTTTCTGAGAGTGAGGCAACCACTTTTGTTTCAGTGTGGATCTCTACACGCTATGGCAGTGCATTACAGTTTTAATTTGGGGCTACCTTTAAATACTTACTTGTTTCTAAAAAAATTGGTGTAACTCGCGAACGCAATCATCAAGATTTCCTTCTCTACGAAGTACAAGCACCGTTGTTACAATTCTCAAACTCAAACTAAACTATCCCTCTGCTAAGGACCCTTGGTTTTTGTCTCCTACAACTTATGAATGCGGGAATTCCCGACTGACACTTGTTGTCGATACCAACTTCTCTTTCAAGATACCAGTATCGACTGTGTTTCATAACCACAGATTCTCCTGGCTTATATTAGAAGGACAACCAAGAATACGAAGGTCATATCAAATGACGTAAAAGTTCTCTAGTAGAGAATCTTTGATCCTTCAGCAAAGAAAGATCCTTTACTGCAAGGTCTCTTAAATCTAAATAAAAAAAAGTCGCATGCAAAAAAACAACAACCCCCAAACAAATAAACAAACAAAAAATTAACCCTCACCCCTATAAAATCTGAGGTTGTGCCACTTTCCAGAGCTTCTATCTAGATCGCCTTTTTAGAGGTAAATTTATCTTGTAGTTGTAGAATAGGATCTTTAGTCTCAGCGGAAAATGCACTGTATAGTCTGCAGAAAGCAACTCGTAACCGTTTATTTTACTCGAGGTAACTCAGATTACAATATATAGGCCACTGTAGGTGCAATTTGTTATTATTATTATAATTATTATAATAATAACAATTATTATTATTTTACAAAAGTTGATCACAACACAGATGCCCTTATATGTACTTAATTAATCCTTATAAGACACCCATAAATCAGTATTAAAACATAATGTTTTGACTGTGATCGGGGATTTTACGTGCAATGCAATGTGCAGTTTTTCGATCAGTAGGCTGGGCTTGAATACGCAGTTATAATTTACTTCCATTTTTACAAACTACAAGCTGTTTTTTCTTAGGTATCAATATCATCGACATAATAGGAAAACCGCGTTTGTCTTTGCAAACAACCACTCCCCAAAGTGGCTATACCAGTATTCTTAAATTCTAGAAAGAGAAAAAAATCCCCGTTTTATTAAAATAATCCATTTGAAAATCCTGCAAAAACCGCGGAAAATCCGGCAGTTCGGCGGATTTCGGTTTATGCGGACTTAATTGTAATAGGCCTACATTTAGGCATTCTTGGATCCAAGAAAACCTAGGCCGATGTTATAACCGTGGCCGGTTTAATAAGCGGACTCCATTGTAACAGTACCGGTACCCAAGACTCAGTAAGTCTTACTGTGTCTTGGCCGGTACCAAACATTACTTCCTATTATTATATTTATCCCCTGAAAATAGCTGATGGACAGGTATCGTCAAAGATTGTACTTGATCTTTGGTATCGTCACTATCTTTGGTACCAACGTCTTGTACCAATGATAGTACATAACAAGATGGGCCACTTCTCTCTTTGAGCCAATTAAAAAAGTGTCCTCAAAATTTGGTGGCGCCCTCTTCACAAAAGCGCACTCTTTGCGAACAGAGTTACCCTACTTGAGTTTTAAAAAATCAAAGTGAAACTAGCAAGTTTTGGGATAAATTTCGGAAGAACGCTTTTTTAAAATGGTTACGCTGACAAAAAACCTCTTCCGGAGGAAAGGGTGATGGTTTTCTTTGTTTAATTTGACTTTAGAGTGAAAGGCGAGAGGTCATTAAAATTTTAAAAACTAAAACTCCGCACTGAACGTACCCGAACTGCTGATGAACAGCAGTCGATCTGCGCACGCAAGGAGGTGCTATTCCTATTCTTTTTCTGGAAAAACGAAAGAGAGCTTCAAAACAGACTGCAGCGCCATCTGAAGCAAAGAGCATACTTCCTGCGGACACTTTTTTGGCTGAGTGGCCCATCTTGTTATGTACTATCATTGCTTGTACTATCTTTGTACCAACGCGGCAATTATATTCCGGTGTAGGCCTAGCCAGGATTTACCAGAGTGATAAACCTGGAGACATGCGTCAAGCAAACAAAGGCTGACGCGATCACTTCTTTGCAAGGAGTTTAGAACTAACATTGTAAACTCAACAGATGGTTTCGAATTTCAATTTTGCACCTCTCCAGTTGACTCTGCCACCAGTGATAATGCTTTCACATAGCGACTAAGAGAGAACATATACATGTAGGCTCCTACTCTAGATTTTAAAACCTCCTATTGTTTAACAGTTCTATTTAAATTCCTCCCCAAGAAAAAAATACCCCCAAAAGGAAACAAACGTATATGCATACGAAAACAAGCAAACAAAAACTACAAAGACTACAACCCAAAACGATTATATCGGAGTAGCTTGTCACTATGTCAGGTCCGACCATGGCATCATTTTCTCCCCCCCCAGTTTCAAACAATTCATTATGACAATATTGTGTCGGCATAAATCACTGTTAAGGTTTGGAAATCCAAGAGCATTAAATTCAATCTTTTGCTTTCAAGAATGAATGAATATGGAAGAACATGATACCAAAAGCTTTTTCCATAAAAAAAACTCCTCCGTAATACTGGGTGGGGATATTTTAACTGACAGTCATGTACATGCCATTCTCACTACCAATTGCCACTCTAAAAGCACCCCCCAACTTAAAGAAGGACGAAAGTAACACATTCGTTCATTTTTTGTGAGCTTGCAACCTGACAACAATAGACAAATGGTGCAACAAAATAATGATTATTATGCTGACAAAGGAACTCTGCTAACGTTATATAACATGACGATGTATTATGATACATTCCACAACCTCAAGTATCAAAATTTGCTCAACGTGCAATACCAAAACTTTAATTATGAGCAGATGCTACTAACATAATCGTTGAAGAGAAGAGGCTTGGGATGGTTTCTTGTCAACTCGCATTGAAATGCAACACCGGTTAATGTTGTCCCCATTTTTAAGTTAAGGGATCCAGATTTAGGTTACACCGTAATAACAAAAACTAGGAATAATAAAACAGTCCTTATTACGTCATAGCAACATGCGGTTTCTCCTCGGCCGATTATTGACAACTCAAAATGAATGCATTCTGTTGCTATTTTATAAACACTGGCTTAGCATAGAAAAGTTATACATTCTGAAATAAACTCTTTGTGCAAAATAATCGAATTTGCTTCTTTCTCAGGCATGGAGAAAAGCTGCGTGTCAGCTGAAAAGATAGTGCACAAAGAATCGTGACGTCACAGTCAACAAACAGGAACAAGAACAAAGCTGTTTATAGCAGAGAGAACACTGCAGTCCCTGGCACTGTCAGTTTTGAGTGTATCAAAGTATAGGACCAGAAAGTCTCTCCTGTGTAGTTTGGTGAAAGGTCAAATACCATGATTTATGAATCAGAAGGAGTATAACCCCACTTTCTACAGTTTCTTAGGTGTTTTGTCTTCAAGATGGGTGGATGTATTGGGTCCCAAAGAGACTCTGGGACTGGAGAATCCTCTGATCTTGACGCAGGATGGCTTCAACACGGTTTGTTTGTTTACATCGTTGGTAATGTGTGGTTGAAGTTGATATTGACATATTCTCATGCTGCGAGCCATGGAAATTAGCCGTCCTATCCTTTTCTTGTCAATTTTCTACCCTTCGTTTAGATTAACAACTTCTGTTGTCTGAAAGATTGTTCTTTCTATCACATGCGATTAAACGTAGAAAGACGCAAACTATTTTTAGGCACGGCACCCATCTTGTTTGCCGTCAGACCAGGATTCCCCTCTGATCACGTGACTACATCTAAGTCACTAAGTATAGCCAACCGCATGGCACCAAAGATGGAAGTGTACGAAAATACTTAATCACGTGATCGGAGGGGTATCCTGGTGTGACGTCAAACAAGATGGGCGACGTACCTAAAAATAGTTTGCGTCTTTCTACGTTTAATCAAATGTTTCTATCTGAAAACAAAGGAAGTGCCTTGATTTGTCACGTCGCATTGCGATTAGGGCCAGCGCTAAATAAAACGCCGCTTTTCGATTAGCGCGAGTGCTAAATAAAACGCTGTGTGTTAATATGGCAAATCTAGATCTGCTTTGTTATTGGAAGTGCTGATGGCTGAATGGACAGCGTGTCTGCGTTAGGAGTGAAACCATTATAATTATACATTTTATGAGCGTGGGTACGAATCCCGGTCCTGGAAGTTTTTGGGTTTTTTTTGTTCTCTTCCCGACTGACCAACAATTTTTTCCCATAACTATAAGTTGTTGCTTTGTATTTTTTTATGTAGTGATGAAGCATGCACTCTGGTTTCCTTCTGTGGCTATTCGGACTCCAATGCGCGTGCACTACACAGAATTGTACACTCAAAATTCTACACTAAGTATAGAATTCTGTGGTGCACAATCACTAGGTGTACCGGATGTGAAGCAGACAAATCGACCTTGGCCTTCCTCAGTTTCTATGATCTGCCCTACAAATGGACGCTGACCTTGGTGACCCAGTGTGAACTGTGGTCTTTTCTTCACAAAGGATAATATATAGTAGGGCCGGGCAATGGGCAACGGTATGGGAGGGAATATAGATCTACAGTCGAACCTGTGTAAGACGGCCACCCATTGTCAAGGAGAAAAGTGGCAGTATAAGACAGATGGCAGTCTTAGGCAGGACTGATCAAGATGAAGAAAACAAACCATTCCTTTCTGAGGTCCCAAGCGAATGTAGCAGTATTGTTGTTGTTGTTGTTTTCGCCTGGTGTTTTTTTTTTCTTTTGCGGCGGATTTTGCGCAAGGGTGACAATAAAACGAAATGTGTTAAACGAGGAAGACTGAGTGCTATGGTAAAACAAACACATGAGTTGCCACAACTCGGAGAATGAGCGACGCTTCTGACACAAGTTCATGTTGACGTCCATTGTTACTTTGTTACAGATTGGGTAAACATCGACCGCTCATCTCACTAACAACGATTTGTGTTGAGTTCTGGGCGGGGCTTATGGGTGAGGGTTCACACGCTTACCTTGCCAGCTGATGAAAATTTGTTACCTATCTATTGGTCAACAGTGGGAGGGGCCTACGCAACATGATCGGTTGGAGGGAGTACCTAACAACAACGACGGGTGATGGGATTATGACAGCTCGCCCACAACGCCTGGGGCCAATGCACGATTTATGAAAAAACGTAACGGAGTCACTAAGGTGGCCGTCTAAGACAGGTGTTATTTTTTGATGTGATAGGGGTTGTGTACTAAAAAATGGTGGCCGCGGCCGTGTTAGACATGTGCCCATTTTACACAGTTAAATTATATAAAAAAACGCAAGGGGGGAAAAGGAAAGTGGCCGTTTGTAGAGGAGGCCGTCTTATAGAGGTGGCCGTGAGGGCAGGTTCGACTACAATATTTTTAAAAATCGGTGATGGTGGGGCGGGCCTGGGGAAGTAAGATGAAGAGAGAAAAAGTAAGAGAAAGAGAGAGAGGAAAAGAAAGAGAGAGAGAGAGAGAGACAGGGGAGGGGGGGGGGGGCTGTCTTGTAAGGACTGATTATGAATTTGATGTTTTGATCCCTTTGTAGTCGTGGAACACAGTGTAATTTGGTAATAGCCTAAGTCCGAATTTCATAGCAACGGGAGTAGCAACGGGAGACTATTCGGACTCGAGTATAGACCTCGCTTATGGTACAACTGGTGATTGCCCACGCACACAGGAATTTGAGTCCGAATAGCCTCCAGCGGCTGTTCGGACTCGAGTCCGAATAGCCATTTCGTTCCGGTTTTGTCCACAAGAGAAGCTTTTACCTACAAAGTTGGTCTATACTTTTCCTTTTACCAATTTAGGCCTGGTTAAAGTTCAATAATTGCTTTTCTTTGTCTGTGAGTCTGTTTTGGTGTTGCACGTATAGCAGTTTTCTTGTTCATTTTTACCCATTTTACTGGAATAAAAGCCTCTATTGAATCACAAATAATAAGAATTTGAAATATGTTTCATGGTTTTTATTTCAACTACTCTATGTTACGATCATGATTCTCTAAAAACCTTTCCTGGAGTCGTGGGGGAAGCTACATTGCTGAACGCTGCATCAGCTGTCTCCACCTGTGACGGTCATGGGCAAGTGCTTGAAGAGTCGGGGCAAAGCTCTTCTCTCTCCACTCGGCAATCTTGTCAATCCATTTATTTTTTGCCTGCCTTTTCTTCCACCTTGAACTGTACCTCGGGGTATGGTCTTCGAATAGGCCACTGGCTCTTGTCACTTGACCTTATCATCAAAGTTTTCTTTTCTTGAGAGTGGTTAGCAGCTCTTCAAAATATGTTCATGTGCTTGGGGATGATTCTGTGCCGCAGCTTCATTTGTGATGTATGTCATGTGTTCTTTGTAATGAGAGAGATGTTGACAGTTGAGTGTACCCTTCTAAGAACATCCCATTTCCACTGCTTGAATTTTTCTCTGTAGTTCTACTGTTAGTGCGTGATGCATATTATTTTTATTAAGAGATTGACAGGACTAATGCGTGCAGTAGCTTCAGTTTAGTTCATTTGTCTCCCCACAATGGTTTCCGTTAAATTACCCGTGCTGCTGCTGTCTATGCTGCTCTTGCTCAGACTTCGGCCTTTGAGCCTTCTTTATTTCATTGAGCATTGCTCCAAGGTCCTTGAACTGATTCACAAGTTTTGAGTTCCTGTCCACAGACTATGATTTTCTTCTTTACTGGCTTTATTTATGCTGTTTTATGCTTTGTCTTTTTGGCTCTGATCTCCATGTTGTATCTGGAAGGATCTCAGCTGTGGTCAAGCCTGGAGAAGCTATCCGTGTGTAAGACACACTGCATGAAAATGAATTATATTTATGCTAAGTCAAATTGTTTAGCAATTTCCATGTTTTGGACCAATCCTGGGGGGGGGGGGGGGGGGGGGGGGGGGGTTTCAGGGGCCCCCGAGGGAAAAAAATTGGGGGTAACAGCGGGCATGCCCCGCCCCCTTGTTTTTCCTCCTTGATGTTTTGCAATAAGTGTTGACATTTCTTGAAATAATTGATTTGCATCAGTTTTAATGGCTATTAATTATACTATTATACAATATGTGTGATCTGTAGCGAAAAATATAGCCACTTGACCTTCGAAAGCAGTGTATCTGTGTGCGGGAGTGAAAGTAAAATTTTTACCCACTAGCCGAATCTTACCCTCACCCTAACCGTTACCTTATGACCCATATTCATCAAATGTGAATAAAACATGCAGGTAATGGAAGACTATCCCTCTTTCTGCTTAGATATAGTCTTTGCTGTACATATATATGTGAATGTTACTTTTGCAATCATTTTGTGTAACATTTTCAGCTGAGATACCAGAGATGTAGGCCTATATCTGCTACTGAAAAACGACCAGTTACGGCTGTTTGACATGATTTTGTTTTGTTTGTGTCATATTGAATGAACCTTTGAAACGTACACATTGTTGCCTATTGCAGTTTCTGTGGGACGCAATCAGCCTTTGAAAGCAGAAAAACCTAGATGGAAGAACGATGTCCCTTTGACTGAAGGGCAGTTGAAAAGTAAACGTGATGAGTTTTGGGACACAGCTCCTGCTTTTGATGGCAGAAAAGAAATCTGGGATGCTCTCAAAGCTGCAGCTTATGCATTGGAAACTGGAGATCACACTATGGCTCAAGCTATTGTTGATGGTGCAAGCATATCACTACCACATGGTAAGGCGAAGAACTGCTGCTGTTTTTTCAGCATTTTGTTCAGTTGTGAAATTAAATTCTTCGTTTTATAAGACAAATTTTTGTTGAAATGCTGTACAAAATTTAAGGAGACCAGTGATTCTATTGAGCTTACGGTTAGATAAAGCTCATTAGACACATTTCAGGCTTAGATGATTAGTGACTGTCAAACGATAGTATCTTTGATTCCTGGACATAAGTTAATGTAAAGAGGGAAAAAGAAATTATGTAGTCCGTAAAAGGTTTTTGCATCTCAATGTGGGTGTAGCATGTTGTCTAGGGGTATGAATTCATGCTCCCCAGGCTTGACAGTTTGATAGTACTGGCATGTGGTGTAAAGGTTATTTTCTTTGCTTTTGAAGATGGAAGTTGGGATTCTCTGGTGAGGAAGTTCTTTATTGAGTATCTCTATCTGCTGGGATGTTGTATCCCACTCAGGCGGGATGGGCCATCATAGGCAGGGTCAAAGCAGCCTGTCTCCAAAATTATCTGAATCATGTTGATAAAACATCAACAATAAAAACATGAAGGTAGATGTCATAGTCATGAAATGCGACATATAAAGAGTTGTTCCGTCTGCCCCTGGAAATGTTTACAGACAGCTGTGACAGTGCAGTGTTGAACAGTCTCAAATTCCCCCTCCCCCTTTTGTTTTAGTTTTATAGATAATACTGCAATGGGTGGTTGCATAGTGCTTGGCTTTTCTGTAACTATTCACTTCAGTAGAGTACTTGGTGGATGGTAAGCGGGTGCTCCGATGTGGTTTGCTCCTTCTTTCCTATTGAACATGTATCATCCTTATCTCTCCTTCTTTTTTGTGTTTATTACTCTCTTACAGCACTTCTAATCTTCAGCATTCGTATCACTTAATTGCGTTGCTTTGTTATTCTCTTGTAACACCTCTATTCTTTGGCACTTAAATGACCTAACTGTGTTGTAAGTGCTGAAAAATGCTTACTAAAAGTAAAACAAAAGTTTTTGCAATGCTGTCATTTGTGTTTTAAAGCTTAAAGTCTCTTTTAAATGCTTTTTAAAACCATCATTTAGAGCTGAGAGTGTCCCGTTTTAAAGTTAGGTGTTAGATCTAGTAGGGATCAGTGTGTGTTTTGTTTTAATTGAAGGCATTGAGTGACTTGCATCTTCAAAATCTGGTCTGTGGGTGGTTGGAGGGTGCTCTGGTGTGATTTGCTCCTTCTTTCCTATTAAACATCTGTCGTCTTTATCTCTCATCCTTCTTTTTTGATGACTTTACTGTATTGCAAGTGCTGTAAAACTCTTTAAAAAAAAATCTGGTCATGCTGGATGGTTTTACCTGTCTTGAGAGAATACAGAAATATCTTCCATTTTTTTTTTCATTCTTCAGGTACCCTGTTAGATTGCTATGATGAGCTGGGTAACAGATACAAGTTGCCTGAGTATGTTCTGAGTGCGCCTGTGAACCTCATCGAAGAAGCGAGTGAAAGTGACACTGCCCCAGACACAGACACCAACCTGTCGCCCGGGGTGGAGCAGCCCATTCGTTTTCGTCTGTCAAATCTTAGCCACGATATCAAACTGCAAGTCTCCTCCACAGACTCTGTGCTAAAACTGAAGAAACGCATTGCCGAGATGCAGGTGGGCGTTGAGCCTCAGAGACAGCGGTGGTTCTACGCAGGCCGCTTGCTCAATGACAAACTTCGCATTGAGGATGCTAAAATTCCTAAGAATCATGTTGTTCAGGTGATTGTGTCTCTGCCGGCGCAGGAGGATGCAAGTTGAGCCACAGGGTCACCAGTGAACGTATGGGGCTGCTCCTGTTTTCAAGTCTTTTCTACTTCTGTTGCTTGCCTTGGAAAAAAAGTAAAAAAGCGATTTTATGACGTCTGTTTGTGATATTTGACACAGACCACAGCCTTTCCTGTCAATGAATAGAAGTGATGACCCCCATTTTGTTCTTTTTTATACTTTTAAAATGAATTCCATGGAAGCTAGGATCACAGAAGGAAAGTCAATTCATTTGTTGGTAGTTGTCCCTCAGTGAAAACGTTTCTTCATAGCAGTCACATTTTGGGGGCTAACTTGTGGATGAAAACCAGACACAGAGAACTTTTTTACACAATGTATATTGTATATGCACGCAGGTATGATAAATCGTAACTCATCCTACACTTAAAATGTGTCAGATTGTTAACATTGTGTGCTTTGTGAACCATTATATATTGATGTGCACCAAATGTTTGGAAGAAACTGTAAGCATATATGCATTTTCTAAACTTTGTTTCTGATTTTGAATGTTGCTGCGTCATTTTGTTAACCAAGTTGGAGGTTGTCTCTTACAAATATATCATCAGCTCTCACGTAACTCCCTTGACGTACAATAATATGGTTTTATCATATGTAGATCGTCCGACAGCCTAACACACAGCTATGGTTGAGAGTTCTAATGCAAAGTATCTTGGTTTCCTGTCAGGGATTGACGTTGATTACACTGAGGTACAAAATGGACACAGCTCCAGTTTTTTTATTAGTTCATGGTCTTTTGTGCTCAAATGCATTTAATGTGATATGAATTTGTTGTGGATAATGAGTGGAGGACAAGGATTGAAGGGCCTGATTATGTGATTTTGTTCTCCCTCTTTCAGACTTTAGGTGGTCGCAAATGTTGACTTGTTTTTTTCTTTAGTATGAATTCTCTGTAACCTTTACTTTCTGTAGTCTTCTTTTTTGTGTTAAAAAAGATATATATGAAATAAGTTTTTACCTTGATTTTGGGATGAAACACTTTAAAATTAGTAGATTTGTATCTAAATGCATTTAATTTTTACCTGTCCTGTAAGCACCTTGCTTTGGGTCTCATTGATGTAAATTTGTTATTTATTAAATGCTCAAAAATGCTTTAAGGCTTGCCAAATACAATGTCACTTGGGAACCCTATGTTTCAGTTAGAGGTCTATGTCCTTGCGAGAGAATGACTTTTGGAAGCTCCTTGGAAGGAATTGTTCTGTAGTAAACCCAATTTTCATATGTACGGACTCGAGTATAAGTTCTGGCTAGGTGGATATGGTTTTAAAGCAAGGTCTGATTTTTAAAATGTTTGATAGCTTTTCAAACACCATATTATCATTTCACATCGTCCGTCTTCCTTACTCGGATTTTCAAACTGTGGGTATGCCTTCAGCTGTTTTGTTTGAAAGAATATTTCTCGGAACAACAAAAAACCAATGTAAAAAGCAAAACCAACAGAAGTGGTTTCAAGAAATTGATATTAGATTATGCTTGCCTCTTCTTGTACGAAGACAAATAAAGTTAGAAAAAAAGGTTTGAGCAGTGAGCAGTTATGCACATACACTCAGATACTGACATGGCAGTATAAGTTGTAAAGATACATGGTATGCAATGACTTTAAATGTGTAGCCTTTTCAGGGCATTGTACGGCATAGCGTTTGTATCTTTTTCAGTGTTAGGCTTTTATTTTTATCGAAGAGATGGGAACTGTGATTACCTGTGCTTCTATTAATGGTCCAGAGAGCTGTGCTTACTCAAGGTAGCGTAAACACAGCCTCGTGGGCACTTTGGCCTACAGAGCGAGTGGTTTCGGTGAAATCGGGGTAATTCAGATTGCTGTTTCTTTGCTCTTTCGCTATAACACACCAAATACTGTACACCTTGTAAAAGTTCAGCTTTTCCTTGTTACAATGGTGTAAGTTGTTTATATGTCCAATTATTAGGAGCTGGAGAATCGCTGTGGAAAGCGAAGCCCCTCGTGGTCGGAATGCGTTATCAGCTGGTTAAAAAATTGACCCACGTGCATTCAAATGCTTCACAGAAGGATTGATGATTAAATACCGTCTTTTCATTGACAGAGAACTGTTGAGCTTTGATGTTTAAATAGAAAGCCTTTAAAAATCGCGACAAAGTTTTCAAATATCATTTTTTACACGAAATATGTAAAATACCGGCTCAAAAAAGGTACCAATAGAAATATCAGTTCATTTTCTATCAGAATAAAGTAAGCGGCTTGGAATTATTTTGCATCAATCCTTCCGCGAAACTCGGAAAGCATGTTACCCCCCACGCGGGGAGCACTTGGTACACTGCAGTATAGAGCCGATTCGCTCATCGAGGGGGCTAGTGCGGCGTCGGCCGGCTCAATGCTCGGTGTTTTTGTCGAAATAACGAATATTGATTTGTAATGATGCCACAGTCTTGGAAAAAATTAGGCTCCATGTCTATGTTATAGTGATTTTACTCTGTTAATGTGGAGATGATTGGTTCACTTGGTACTCTTTTATTATCTGTTAAACATGGGGTTGCAGCCAGTTAACGACTTTAGCAAATTTGATCATATTTAAAACTGCTACTATTTTCTTAAAAATTGGCTTAGAGGTTATAGAAAGGTATCGAAATTCTCAGGAGATATAAGCCCTTTCATATGGAATAGATAGATTTGGCATACAGCTGCTTTGAAAATTTAGTTTCTGGTACCTACTTACTCCCATCCCCCATGGAACATTTTGTACTCTCCCTGGTAGCACAGTGCTTGCAGTGGAGGGCTGAACTGACAGCTCATTTGAAAAGCAGAGAGACATTACTTGGATCATTAGAACAAAGATATCAAAACTTACAGAAATGAAAAAAAATGGGGCATTTGTATATATGGTGTGCACATTTTGTGTTGGGTGGGAGAGAGAGGGAGGGTGGGTGGGAGGAGAGTATGTATGGGAAAAATGGAGTGATAATTGAAAAGAAGGGAAAATCGGTGAAGACTTTTAAGTGTGCCCACCCTAGTGTTTCGAAAGAAAATATGATTTTTCTATATCATGTTTACATTTTGCGTCAAGACTCGACCAAGGAATTGTGCTTCTGGCCCACTTTAGCAACATATTCATTTGTGGTTGGTCAAGCTCATTCTGGTCTTAAAACAACCAAAGTGTTGAACTTATACTTTGTCCAACTTTTTTAAAACCTTCATGAACCAGAAGGGGTCTAGTACAGGGTTGTTGACTCCAGTGAATCTGGAAGTTTCAATCATTTGGAAATTAGGTTTAGTCTGTCAAGAAATTAAAAGAGTTTCAGATGAAAAGGAAGGTTTCCATGTATTAATGGTAGCTTGTGTTGGAAATTTGCACAGTGTTCTCGCAACTAACGCCGAACTTCTGGATTGTGCTATGTTTTACTGAACTGTGTTCATCTCTACTGAAATCACAGACACTGAACAGGGTTTCCTCGTATATAAAGGGGATAGCTATTTTGAATTTTTGCAATATTCAAAAACATATGTTCGTTGTACAAGACTTGATGCATGTTTTTTTCTCCCTTTGGTAGAAAAGCAATGGAAGTTCATATTTTCTTATGGGAATTTGTTCATTTTTGAAAGACTTATTGTTGCCCTTCTTTTTTTTCTTTTCTCTGTTCTTGTGGCTACTCTCCAACTTTGATCTGGCCTATGCTTTATTGTACATGCATTTTAAAAGTTGAGAAGGGGTATCGTTTACACCTTACTTTTTATGAATACATATATTTCTAGATAATTATACTTCAGTTTCATTCTTATATTTTATGTTCAATTAGAAAATAATTGCTGGGATTTCCATTTTTGTTGTGGAGTCAAAATTTAACCATTTGTTTTTTTGTAAGGGTTTACATGCTATATATCTTCATAAGTCTGTATATGTTGGGGGGAAGTTCGTCGACATTTCACTTTCAGAATATCATTTGAATCAGTGAAAGAAAAATGAAACTTACACAAAGGGTGTTGTGCAGCATCTATCACACTTGGTAAGCACCCTGACCTCACTCATATTTGTCTCACATATCACTGTGTTCAAGGTACCTGTCTTTTTAAAACTCAAAATAATTCTGAGTATAAATATGTGTTCTTTTTAAAGACAGTAACAGTTTGTTTATGTACCTTCTCTCATTCTTTGACTCTGTCTTCAGATAAATGTACCCATAATGATGTCATATTTTTCTTTAATGCCAAGGTGAAATTAACATTCCAAACTTAAAGTCTATTGAAGCTAACCTGAAAACTGATTAATTTGCACCATTGTTACTGTGAGTAGTTGCTTTTGATTGAACACTTTGTCATGCAAGATCCAATCCGTACGTGTTTCAAAATGTTTTTTAAAGTCATTACATTCATATTTTGCAAATGCAAATGGAGATTGAATGCTCATCGCTGTCATATTTGATGTACCTGATCACGATGCTGTCCAGTTAGTACCGTACTTAAACACCTACAGTTTGTGCATTGATCCGTCTATCATATCATTTGTCCACATCAAAGAAAAAAAAATAGGAAAGAAAGAAAAGTATCAATTTGCCTGCATTGGACCTGCATAGGATACTATTAGGTCGCAAATTCTAAGTTATGTCTGTAAAGGCAGTCAGTCCTTACGCATTTTCGCAATTTAAGTTGATTTACGTGGAATTTTACTCTCTGAAACCCTGAGTTTTTTCCACCTTTTCCCGGAGTTTTTTCTACTGTCACCTAAACCTAGTGCACTGTGTCTCATTATAACCCCAAAAGCTTGACTTCAACTTCTAAATGGCGGTAATAAAGGTTTAGTCATAACTAAAAAACTTGGATCGGGAATAGTTCCGAAAAAAGTAGAAAAAAGTAGTACTAAATGAAGCGAAACAGTTGTCACTAGTACCAGACGCTCCAAGCCACCGATGGGGAACGGGGTTATTACCGCCGGATGCTCCCAGCGTCCGATGGGGTTTAAAGAGTTAAACTCTGATGTCACGACATCCATCTCCTATTCACAATTTGACAAACTCGCTGTTTGTAGAACTTGCACCGCTAGAGCTTGTGGAAGGAATTGTAAACTCATAGTGACTTACAGAGTTTGGGAACTTGTGATATGGTTCACTGTGGATTTTTTCTTTCTCTGAGAAACCAGTTTCTACCACTCCATCCACCCTGTCTACATTAGATTGTAAATAATTTCTCTTTATACACAAACATGAACATCCAAAACTTTCTTTACCTCTCCGTTCTTGTTTTTCACTCCCAGAGACAAAAGGCATGAGAGGATAATCATGGCTTATGGTCTCCTTTGAGAATGTGATTGCAACC